CTGATGGTAAGCTCTCAGTACGTTTGTACAGTAAGTAGCATGTTGGGTTGGGCCAGGTCAGCTGATGTAATAGAAATAACATAGTCATAAGAAGAAATACATAAATGCCATAAGAGAAGCTAACATCTCTGTAGAGAACACAAGTTTTAACGTGAGCAGCCAACTACAAAACCATTTTTACCTTTAGCTGCTTAATGCAGTGAGTGACTTTAGGCATGTGGCTAACTAGCTGGCTCTTATTTTTGTTCATTCATCTCATTTTTGTTCAAAGTGGTTTCAGTCCTTTGACCCTACACTATGTGTGGTGCCTAAAAGGTAGAGAATGAATGCATGTTAAGACCTAATTACTGATTTCCTTTTAGCTTTATGAATCAGGACAGGAATTAAATTCCAGTATTAAATAGGAACATAGCATTGGTCAACGATAAAGTATCAGACTGGACCAAGAGTCCCTCATCTCTGGTAAGCCGCCTCCTCCAGTCACCTAGAGATGAAGCTACAGAAGAAAGTAAAACACAAAGCAAAATACCCTTTATTGCAATGCTGCCCTATGACAATCATGCAATGCTGGTCCTGGCAAATTCCTTCTCATCCTCTGGGAAGGTCAAATGACACTCTGAAGTGTGAGGTTTGGTTAATTCTATTTTACTGTAGCAAGTGTTATCATCATGTCTTATTTATTTATTTAGGGAAAGATCATGGCTTTCCAGATACACCTGGGCAGGGGAGGGAGGCGGCATAAGGTAAAGGGCTGACATCGATTACATCTCTCCTTGGAGCAAAGTGGGAATCAGAGATGGAATCATGACTCTCTGAGACTCAGTTCAGTCTCTACTTTGCTCTTGGGGCACTTTAGGTATGGGCTACTTAGGTATTTTAGTTTACTTGTATTTCTCTCTCTCTTCTCCCTTTGGCCATCTGTCTTTATTCCTTTTCCTATCATAGACCGTGGGCTGAGTGTAGTAGCGTTAACAAGTGACAAATGCTGTTATAGGGTGCACAATTATCAACTCCCTTTGGAATTCCAGCTACAGTATTTGACTCTGTGAACTGATTATGTACAGCTGCAGGCCAAATCCTGATCCCATTAAAGTCAATAAGAATTGTGCCATAGGTTCAATAGGATAAAGATTTGAACCAGTGTGAAGAATTATTTCATTTTATTTTAAGTACTTGCCATTAGTGACCCCTTAATCTCCTAGCAGCAGAGTAAAACAGGAAAAAGACAAGAGTTTAATTCACTGTGGTCCTTTGGATATTACACCAAGGGGCACTGGAAAGCTACATATAGAATTTTCGGCTGGGATGTAGAGAGAGGAACATTTAAGTGTTTCATTAACTATGTTTCTGGCCTTGACACAGGCCCAGTTCAGCAAAGCATTTAATGCATAAGTCCCATTTAAAGTCAATAGGCATGGACTGCTGAATTGAGGCCACTGCACCCATTGAACTCTCACATGGGCATTGCTAACTTCACTGGGCATTGTATCAGCCCTTTAGGTGGTATTATTACTGATCCCTATTACCATGGGTGGTTTTGTCATTTACTTCAAAGGGCACAGGATCAGTCCAATTGCCTTAGTACGGTGTGTTTATTTATTGTTTCTCTTTCTCTGTGAGAGTGTGTTGTTTTAGATCTGTATCAGCAAAATCTTTAATCCCCTCCTTTTTTTAATCCTAAACGAAAGGAAAGAAAATATAGTAAACAAATGGAGTCCAGAGCTTTGCTGAAGGCACTGGCAGTGCATGCAGCATTAGCAGCTAGTATATCATCCATTGTTGCTCAGTGTGGTGCACTTTTAATCAGTTTTTCAGAGATGATCTGGCAAAGTGAAAGTGGAGGCCGGAGAATATCATGTCAGATTTCACAGCTGTGTTCATAACTACTTTAGACCCCATAATTTTACATGTTTAGCTGGGATTATGTTTTCTAATATGCATTACTTTTCATTTATCAACACTGTATTTCATGTGCCATTTTGTTGCCCAGTCACCCTTTGTAACTCATCGTTGTCAGCTTTGAACGCTTTGAACGTAACTATCTTAAGTAATTTTGTGTTATCTGCAAACTTTGCCACCTCACTGTTTACCTCCTTCTCCAGATCACTTATGAATATGTTAACAGCAAAGGTCCCGATACAGCTCTTTGTGGGGCCCTGCTATTTACTTCTCCCCATTGTGAAAACTGACCATGTATTCCTGTCCTTTGTTTTCCTATCTTTTAACCAGTCATTGATCCATGAGAGGCCCTTCCCTCTTATCCCGTGACTGCTTACTCTGCTTAGCAGCCTTTGTCAAAGCCTTTCTGAAAGTCCAAGTACACTAGCCACTAAGTCACCTTTGTCCACATGCTTGTTGACCCCTCAAAGAATTCTAATAGCTATTACTCCCTTTCATTGTAAATGTTCCTGTGGCAGGAGCACCTTTACTCCTTCGTGTGGGCTACCTGCATGTCCAGTCCTTGAGCTAGGGGGTAGCAGGGGTCATTACTCCTCTTCCAGTTCAGATGGGTGGGGGAGTGGGCGTAACCTTGGCTTGTTCCCCTCCCCCACATCCCAGGCAGCACAGCTGAGCTGGTATAGAGTGGGAAAAGAGCTGTGCCAGGTACAGTAGTAGCACAGATTACCTCCCTCCTGGAGCAAGGGAGAAACGGACTGAATAGTGAGTCACGGGGGCACAATTTGGTCTGGCCTTTCCAATGGCAATGCAGCTATATGCTGCTTCTTATTCAGATCTCATGGAATTTCACAATCAGGTTTTTAGACTGTAAACTCTTTGGGCTACAGACCATTTAAAAAAATCCTGGAAAGTAACATGCAAAATACGGTGCTATACAAATATATAATAGTAATGTATAGTCTACATTTAATAGGCTAATAAGTATGCTCTGTTATATATGTAGAGTGTGGATAAGCTGCTTATTATGAGAACCCAGCTTTGCAAGGCAAGTGCTGTGTAGATGGTATTAGCCTCATTTTGCAGAGGAGGAATGAGGTACAGAAAGGTTAAACTACTTAAGGTCATACAGTGAGTCAGTCTCAGAGCCATGATTAGATTTGAGGTCCCTAGATTGTGCTCTAACCATTAGACAGTGCTGCTGCTTCATAAATACAACACACTGTTTTTGTCCTTAATATTTCTGCAACTAATACAATGCCTAACTAATACAACGAATACAGTACCTAATGCTATCTCTAAACCCAAGAGGGCTGAATTTTCTACTCGATTCCTAATGACACTTTGTAAAGTAAAGTAATTGCTCTATTGAAGTACTGTAAGAGGTCCCCATTCACCAAGTCCAGTCTCCTTTTATTTATTCATCCCCAGAATGACAAAGACAGATCTAGGCACCATTAACTGCTAATGTTTTGACCCACTCAGGTCTTCATCAGAGCCTTTTTAAACATCATTATAACTGACACAAGCTTCTTCAGAGAATAGATTTTGACAGCCATATACCAGCTGACTCCAAGAAGTCAGCTCCATTTAATTTGGAAGCAGAAATTGTATTTATTATGGAGCCTCCATTTCCAATATCCTGAGTAATGTTATGCATAATTATGTGTCACACAGAGCAGAATGAGAGGTATATAATGGATCCGCTGTATGAATAGAATGAATCTCAAAAGGTATGAAAACTGGTCTTGCAGTACATTATTCAACTGCATTTCTATCTAGGCAAATGTAATGTCTGCTCTGAAATTGGAAATGGGAAAAGAATACATGGGTATATCTTTTTGTCCTCCTCTCCCCCCCCCCCGAAGATTCTGACTCAAAAAGTTTTATTATCCTTGCTCCCCGCATGAGCTGGTTATTAAACAAATCTAAAGAAGCAGCATTCATAGTGATTGCACATTTTTGCAGATAAACAGCATTTGTAGTGATTACACATTTCTGCATTATGTGTTTAAAAATGGCACATTTGCCTTCAGCCCAATGAATATATTGTGTTTCACTCTAATAAATAATCAATTCTTAACATGAAAGAAGAAGAAATTTCTGTCTCTCTTTGCAATTAACGTAGTTGGCTGGTAAATCATCCTTTGGGAATTTGATGTTTCTGACAACTCAGAGAAATGAGGAAGAGATGCTCCAAACACACCAATGGCTTTGTACTGCAGATTACTACTCAGAGATAAAGGAGAAAGAGTTCTGTTCTACTTTCGAAGTACAAAAACAAATAGATACAATGAGATTGTTTTAGAAAAATAGCCCCAGCCCTCTCTAAAGGGACGGTATCAAATAATTTAAACCCCACCTTTGACCTAATTTAAAATTGGTGTAAACAAGTGGGGACTGTTTCTCATTTTAAAAATGTCACTCATGAGCACTACACTAAAACACAAAATGAAATAAACCCACAATAGCCACATGACCAGGATGTAATAGGAAAGGATCCTGCACAGCTAGGAGGACCTTAAACCTATATTTTATAAGCAGCTTGAATCTGAACATACTTTACCACAAGACAGTAAAGGAAAAACCACTGACTTCTAAGGTGTTTGTGTGTCCGTTTCACACCTCCTAGGTGTTCTTAACAAACATTTTTGCCACAGGGTTTTTCATTTAGCTCTGAGAAACTAAGTATTAGTAAACATACTGCACCACACACAGCTCATCAGTTCAGCTGGTAACCACTGTCTAGTTCAGTGTACAATTTATTCATAATGGAAAAGAATAATCCAGCTACTGCTCATGTACTGTGACCTGTACCTAGACTCAAGGGTTACTTAGAGAAGTAAAAATATGTTCTAAGTATTTCTAGCCATAAAACTTTCAGATCACATTAAAATGTGAGTATAACATATGTGTCTATATTATACACATACATGGCTGGAATCTACTTGAAGTTACACCACTGTAAATCCAGAGTATTTCCCATTACTGAAATGGAAGAAGCAGTGCCTGATAGCGCTTGGAATTAATAAGCTCATATGCTTCCAATTAATGGAGACCTAGTAGCTCCAAATTTCCTATAAAGCAAGATAACACATAGTGAATGTACTCCACAGTGAATATTTTTATGGGACAGTATAAATTCAGACTGGAATAAAACATCACATTGACAATATATTTACTATAAAACTCAACAAGTTCCATTGTCAAAATGAGCAATACACATTTTGTTGTATTTCTGCCTTAAGCAGGCAGTGCAAGAACAAAAGCTTCCACCGTGTGTTATGAACTGACAGAACCCTGTCTGCATTATATACATACACAGTGCTGTAGGTACTTCTGGTATTAGCCATGAGATGGCACAGTTAGTACAGTGTAACAGCAAGCAAACCGTTGTTCTGTCGCTCATACACCTTTCCATATTATAATTTATAGTCATTACTTGGCCACTGAAATTCTTGGACCAAGGCCGTGTTAAAAACACACACACAAACACACACCATAATTAACAACAATTTGAAAGATTCAGTTTTGTGTGTGTATTTTTTTAACTGCAGCAAACAATCTTATGCAGCAGGCTCCTATCTGGTGAGATTAAAAATGGGATTGAAGTGGGGTTTAACCAGAACAGGGACAACTTGAGCTGGAACATCAAATTTATATTTTACCATCATGTGTCAGAAACTCATTTCCTGAGAGCAGCTTACGCCTTTGGCTAGCTGGAATAAACAAGGCCTGGATCTCAGAGACGCCAAACATAAAATTCAGCATTCAAGGATATCCTGTAAGTGTAGGTTACTCACTGGTGATGGATGCTAGATCTAGAAACCAATGGACTACACTAAGCCATGCGTGTCATTTTACTGGTCACCGGTACATTGGGCCAGGTCCTCATCCCTTTTTAAGTCCCCTTTGCACTGCTGGAGCATACCATACCAGAGTGGTGCAAGGGGAAATTAAAGCTCCCTCAAAGCATCAGCTGAGGATTCCCTCTGTGCAGAAGAATCCTGAGCCAGACCCTCCTGTGCCCACTGACATAGGGTCCATCTACACTCCACAGATTTCATCTCTTTCAGGTCTAAACTCTTAGGGCAACTGAGTCTGCTCTGATTTATGCTGGGGGCTCTGGTAGACCGGAGGATCAGGGGAGTGTACAGATGGTATAAATGCACCTAAGTTTTTAGCATGAGTTACTAATATCATAATGTGGTTGCTTAAATGATTTGTTGGCTGAATTTGCCCCAGCACACAGGACTGAATTCTTCACTGCAGTGCATTGGTTTTGGCTACAGATACTGCAGCACGGGCGATTTCATGTAATCACTCTGTAGCAGTAAGCAAAATATATCCTTTTTTAACTTAATGATGAGCCAACATTTCCACTGATTTATTCCCCATATGAAGCGATTGGCTTAACAATATAACATGCTTTTCACTTCAAACATGTCACATGCTAGCAAATGCTGTCACCCCTCCATCAACATGATACCACATGAATTGATTGGGTACACTAGTTCCCTGTAACAACTGGGAATAGGTTAATGGTAGTGTCTTTGGGCCAAATTAATCTCAGGTGTAACTCTAACAACTTCAGTGGGTTTAGCCTGGGCTACATGTGTCCAAAAACATGCCTTTGTACAATTGGAATTAAGTAACTAGGGAACTGTGGAAAAACAGCTCATGCATTGTGACGTCAGTTACACTGTTCAATAATTCTTTGTGGCGCCAGCAATACAGTGAGAACATCAGTGGCTTCTCAGCAGTGTTTGGGCCATCGCTGTTATTTAGAGGTACTAGCTCCCAATTATGGTGCTAGTCTTGAATGGCAACAGACATGCAATGGCAATTATTCCCTGAAGGCCTACAACAAGGAAGCACTTCACATGCTCTCCTGTCATGCTAAGCGGAACTGATGAGCAGATGCAAGTGAAAGTTGGGGAGTATGGATTAGATCCAGATGTTTCATTTGTTTAAAAATAAAGAGCCTCATAAACATAAACATTACACATAATGGACATGCAAGAAACAGAAATTACAGTGAGAAGTACAAATGTAAACAGTCAGCCAAACAGTGAGGTAAAGAGCACACCTTAGAAAAGGCTGTCAAATAACAATCAATACAAATATCTATGCAGTTAGAAGGCGCACAAGATGCCCGGGGCCAAATTCATCCCTTTATAACCCCTGTGACTTCACTGGAGTTACACCTGAGATTAATTTGATCCTTTATTACTGTTTTTTCCAGCCCAGATGCTTTGCTTTCTGTTACCCCCCTATCTGTCTCACTCTGGCCTTGGCTACACTTGGGAATTCACAGCGCTACAATGATTAATATACTATGGGGGGATATATCAGAAGATCAGAATTTTGGAAAAACAAAATTCTGATTCCAGGAGATATTTCTGAATTTTAGGTCTTTCAAAATTTTTAAGTTATTGATAATTGGAGTTTATCTGCAAATAAGTACTAATTAGTATTATTAAGGTAGATAAAAAGGTTTGCCACCAGGCAGTAAATTATGGCAAAGACATGCACAAGGAAGACATGAATGGCTGACTGCCATTAACTTCCATTGACTTCACTGAGATTTGAGAGTGCTGAGAACTTTGCAGGGTCTCACCCCAAATATGTAAATGATGAATGAGGGTCTGGAGACAATGTGGGTGAGGTAGCATCTTCCACTGGACCAACTTCTCTTGGTGAAAGAGACAAGCTTTTGAGCTACACAGAGCTCTTCTTCACCAACAAAAGTTGGGCCAATAAAAGATATTACCTTGTCCACCTTGCCTTTCTAATATTTTGGGACTATGACAATTATAAAAACACTGCAAACCATCTGGAGTGAAGACTTTTAAACAAGTGGTTTCTGGCCAAAGGTTTTATATGCTGGATAAGAGCTAAAGTGGTTTCTCAAAGAAGGTATGTAGAAACGGGGTATATAAATAGAGTGTTTTACTGTGTTGGAAGAAAACTTATTCACTGCACAAAACAGCTCCCAGCTTGTAATTTATTATAATTAAACTAAATGAGACTGATTCTAGAAGGAGGCAAGCCAATTAGTTTGGGATGTCAATTTTTGTTTGCCACTGTCAAACACTGTTATGGGACCTTGATAGATTGCTGGGTTGGTTTTTTTAAATCAGATAAATCTAAAGTGAAAGGAAATTAAACAGCCTGGCTCAGAGAAGCACACAGTGCTTGCCATTAAAAAGTCAGAGTTTGCTACTGTTGGTATTTGAGATGACCAGCTTTTCCCTTCACTTACGGTAGGAGATAAATGTAGCAATTGGAGGGTATGTCTACACTGCAGTCAAAGGTGTGGCCTTGACTACACTGCTGGTGGCCTGTTGGATATGTGTAGCTAAACACCGCAGTGAAAAGCAGTTCCCACTGCTCCCTGGCACGGGCAAAGGCTCCGGCAGCAGGGAGGAACTGCTGGAATATGTGCTGAACACCCCTATATATGTGGAGCAGGGAAAAGTGGAGTTTTCAGGCACATAAACAAGTTTTAACAAAACTTTTCAAAAAAACCCTCGACTCTGAAATGCACTGACATAGATAAGAGAAAGCTGTAGGCATCTGTTAGCTGTATCATATTCTTATAGGTTGTTATGTAAGGCTGTATGTATAAGAAACTAAATCATGTGCACGACTACACACTAAAAAAATAAAACCTACAGAGGGGCATTTTTTTTTCAAATATAAGTGATTTACAAATATTAACTGTTCTGCAGTTTGATCTTCTGAGGTCCAGCTGTGGTATCTCAAAAATGACTGTTCTCATATTAGTTTTTTGACAAAATACCCATTTTTGACATTCTCAGAAGACTAGGACTTCAAGACAGGGCAGACCAAATATCTGGCATAAGGGTGCAGCAGGGAACAACAGAGGAACACAGAGACTCAGAGAAGTGTGGTATTATCTTTTGCACAAAGTATCCCCTTTTTTGGCACTGTTTGACTTCTAGCGGTGCATATTGTCCTGTACTACCTAGTCATAGAAAATACTGACAAGTGATTTTATTGCATTGTCATACTTGCTTGTTATTGGCTTGGCAGTTGTTTCATACATAGTTTCCTGGAAAAAGTGGCCTACGTGAAATTACGGCAAGATCTATTTCTTCACAAAAGACGGTGTGGTCTTTGGTTGAGCTGAATGTGAAAAAGGGGCAAGCACCACAAGACCCTCTGTTCTCAACAATCTAAAAATGATGGACAGCATTGTGTTTGCTGACTTTTTGATTAGGTTCTTGTTGGTAAATAGCACAAATATAATTTCCAATGTAAAGAACCAAGGCAAGCCTTAGTCTAGTTGTAATCTGTCAATAACAGAAAATGCAAGTGAAGTAAGCTTCACAGAAGACAATTAGTTGATGTACTGTATGCCTCAGCCCATTGATGATGGACCAGAAGTCATTAGCATCTAAAGACTCTTTGTGGCTTATATGAAAGAACTTGGTGGCCTCAGTCCAGTTCCTAATGGACACGTGCAGGTGTGCACATCACAAATACCATCTCTTCTGACAGTTTCATCAAAGAAGTAACAAACTTAGTAAGCACAAAGATGGAAGTACTCTCACAGCCCTACAGGTTTTTCTTCTGATTGGCAGACCTTTCTGAGGAAGCTTGTGATGCTGCTGCCGAGGGAGTACTGGTTCCATGAAGAGACAGAAGACTTCATTCTCTTGGGCTTGTATCATGTGCAATATTTGAAATAGTAATTCATAAAAAAGAAATTATGAAAAACGTCTTGTTAGAAAGACTGCGAACTCCCCACAGAAAATAGCTTTTGTGGATGACTTTTCTTTTTATACTGGTGGTGACTGAATATAAAACAAAATGCCGCACAGTTACATACATGTCCTTTTTCTATAAGTATTTACAGAAAACTTTACAAACTTTTATACACATTTTCATATCCAGATCTTCTCGTTTACTTTTAAATTAAGAACAAAATTCACCCCAGAGACTCCTAAGGCTGTAGACGGTGCCTATATTGTACATTCATGCTTGGCTTCTTCCTGGGAAGAGGGGAAAAGAGTAAAAAAAATGTGCAAATTACAGACATCTAATAGAGCCCTGCGTTTAAGGGTTCTTGGAGACTGACAGCAACAGAGAACATCCATTTCACTTCTCTTCAACTCACAGACAACTACTGTTTGTGGGTGCAGGGGAGGAGACAAAAAGAGGGAGAAGAAACCATATATGAATTAGAATATTTAGACAAGCACGTTGGTAATTAGGACATCTGGAAAAGAAGAATTATTTATCAGTTTCTACAACATACAGTAGCTTAACCAACATTAGGTGCAGTCTTTGTGAATGTCTGATACATTATTGAAGCCAGTCCATATTACACTATAGGTGTCTGATCCCTGACATGTATTCTGGAGTCATATTATCATTTTCCAACACTATCTTTGCCAGGCACAGTATGACTGTATCAGTCCAGAACTACTGAGTTTCTTGAGAAACACACATTCTTCTCTCATAATTTTCACAGGTTGATTTGTTTTCATGCCTTAACACTAGGTATTGTAAAAAACAAAATTAAAAAAAAAAAACAATTTACAATTTACAAGTGTCCATATAAGTAAATAATTTAAAAAATCCAAGATCATCTACAAGTATCCATCTAATGGCGATGATGATAATGATACTGAGGCTGTGACTGAAGGATTCAGTCCCATGTGGGAAGAGCAATCCACACACTCGGTGAGAAATATAGGACGTGTCACTTCTGTGACAACGGTTCACAACGTTGGTCTTTTCTTCTGAAGGCTGCTTCTTCAGCAACAGCAGCAGTGCTGAGTCAATGTTCATTACTTAGTTCGACCTGTGAAGAGATATATGAGTTACTAATCTATCAACAAGACCTCTGGGTGTTCGTTTCCTATGTTGGTGGTGACCAAGTATAAGGTCACGATTGAATAGGCTCCTAGGAACAGAGAAAATGCTGACTCCATGGCCGCACGCTTGGGAAGCATTTGTGGCAGTTTTGAAGGAGACTCCCCTCCCCCCTCGCCTCGTTCTCTCCTTTGGTTAAAGGGGATGTGTGCCATGATGGTGACAGAAGCTGGAGAAGGTGCTGCAGCTGGTAAAGTATGAGAAGCTGTCAGAATGATGGATTTCCCTCCACTTCATTCATATTAAAGGAATCATATTTTTGTATGCTGGCTCATGACACTCTCATCTGACCTGGTTATGGCAAACACATTTGAACTGAATCCACATGCAACTTTGGTTCACAGCCATTTGTCAGCTGAGTTTGTGCATCCGCACATACCATCCCTCTGACCATGTTTTTAATCACTGTATTCAGGACCATCTGTGTGGTTATTTCATATTGATTCACAGTGCCTGGAGGATGTGCATGCAGTGTAGGGTCAGAGGCAGGTGTGATAATCCTGTCGCACATAGAGTTGTGAAGGAGGAAGGCCAGCTAACCTGGTTACATGAGCATAGTCAGGGGTCTTATCTACACAAAATAGAGAGTTATGATTATGGGGGGGAGGCAAAGTGTTGGGTTTTGTTCTTTTAAATATACTACCTTCCCTAGCCCTGTACCAAAACTTTCTATATTCTCACTCAACTAACTTAACATAGAGCTTAATGCTGCCCTAGAACTGTGTGAAAATGTATTGTTCCTTCAGTCTGATGATCCCCTTTATAACCTGTCTACCTTTGCCTCCAAAGAGAACACATTCAGATTTTCCTCTCCCTCCCTCATCCATTTCTTTCCTTATTTCATCTCTGTGTTGTCTCCTCCTTTACTTCTGCACATCTTCATCTAGACTGTAACCACCTCAGGGCAAAGAATGTGTCTTTACCTATACTGTAGAGTGCCAGGTAAACAAACAACAAACTGACAAGCTATGCTCATTTATGTGTGCACAAAGAAATGCTTCCTAGGAGAAGGCATTTAACTTTTGTATCTCTTCAGGGGTGAAAAGGACAACTATTCTTAGACTTGCTAATCATTAATAATTATGTGGTAGCCCTAGACAGATACTATAATATGGCCTCTGCATATATAAGAAAATGAATTATCCACAGCTGACTAAAAAGCTCTCTTTCACAGTTTTGATAAGGCCATATAACTTTGCATGTTTGAAGTGCTATGCTTTGTTAATCTATGAGAATCCATGGAAGTCTTATAATGTGGCTCCCAAGTACTGAGCAAGACAATTCACAAACAGAGAAGAGGTTATGATTTGCTGTTCAGTGGGAGTTAATCAAATGGATTCATAAAAGTTTAGGAACCTGCCTATGCCCTGGTATTTTAGGAAGACGGGGTAATTCTACACCAATTTCTTAACCAAATGCCTGCAAAATAAACCACACTGATATGATAAGGAGGGAGAGAACCAAATGCCCAACCTGGCTATAATCTATAAAAGAAGAGTCACATTTTTACTTTTCCCCAGGAGTAAAGTGATGAAGATAGTAAAAGACATATAAAATGAATTAAGAGCCTTAATAAAGGTTAACAAGAATCTTTCTTGTTCATCTCCAACTTCCAAGTGAAAAGGAATGGAGTTTTTCACAGTTTGGATACTGAAAGGCCCATTCCTCATGGGGATTGTGGTATTCCTGGACCATCTAAAATTGATATAGATAGCACTTGTCTTACTGAAAGACAACAAGCAGGCAGGTTGCTGCACTGCACACAGATAAGCATTTGCAAACCAGTAGATAGCACAGTTCACTGACTATTCAAATTGTCTCCTGCAGCTTGGCTTTTAATTCAAATTTACCTTGATTATTGAAATTCTTCTTCCCCCTTGCTTAAGCAAAGATCCTACTTGTACTTGCCATTACATAAAACCACAATATCACTGAAGACATTTATTATTGTTTTATACTCCCCGACTGCAGGGCTTCCAGCCGTGATCTTGTTAGGTCTCACAAGTTAACCCAAGCAGGACCTGGAAAGAATGGGGTCTCCCAGATGCAATTTATGTTCACAAAATTTGCCCACCAACAAAGTGAATTCTGAGTGCAAAGCTTCATTCAAGTGTCTCTACCTGATCTGAGCTTGGAAACAGGTAATTTGATATGAACATTCTAAAATTTGTGCCCCTAATTCAATTGTAGTTGCAAATTTTGTAGAAGTATCAAAAAGGAAATCACCTTTTCTGAAAAATCTACCCCTTCATTTCCTTTTTTTCAATAATAGTACACTGGTTAATAAAATATTGGACATCACAATTCTTCCTCTAACCCTTCAGGAAAATTAGTAGTGGTTTTTAAAATCAACATTGAAGCAACTCCATAGACTAAAAAGGTGAAGAATATTTAAATCAGAAATGTAAACGTAGCAGCTATGACCTTCTTCCCAGTGGATACCCAGTCCATGTCCTTGGTCTCCAATATCTCAATGAGGTATGTCTACACTATGGAGAATATACCAACAAAGCTATGTGCCAACATAACTGTGTAGTGTAGAGATAGCCTACAATGATGGAAGGGATTTTTCCATTGTTGTAGGAACACCACCTTCCCGAACGATGGTAGTTATGTCAACAGAAGCCTTCTGTCGACATAACTGCATATACATTTGAGGTTAGGTTGGCATAGCTATGCTGGTCTGCACATCTCAGAGCTACCTAGCTCTGCTGACCTAACTTTTAAGTGCAAAGCAAGCCTCAGTGTACGTAATAAACCCAGGCCCCTGCCATTCCTCCCACGTCACAGTGCAACAAAAGCATTATCTTACGGCTAATCTGCACTTGAAAGTTAATTCAAGGTAGAGTGTGAATTTAAAGCACAAAAGCTATTCCTGACTAACTTCAAGCATGGACACTCTTATTCAAGAGTAAGAATACCTTGTTTTGGTTTAGATTAATCAAAAATAGATTAAGCTATACCAGAATAAGGCACTCTTAGTTCAGAAAAAAGAGTCCACACTTGGAGCTAGTCAGGAATAGTTATTCCAGACTGATTCCATGTGTAGACAAACTCTTCATGGAATACTTTTGTAAATGCAGATCCTAGCAATATGATCATAAACTGATCAGTTCTTTGCCTTATTAGTTGTCTTAATTTGATACTTCTTCCACTCCCACACTATTACATTACAATTTTTTCTTATTCTTTTGGGGCTTTCATAATTCCACACTATATAATCTCTCTGTAATGGTAAAAAAGATTGAAACATTCTTCATCATGTACATTTCTACAACCAAATGCTGGTGCACATGAGTGAAAATTTATATTTGACAACATTCTAAGAGTAATGAAAACCCAATTCAGATTTCAGGGAGCAAATGTCCAACCCAAACACAGTGTAAGTAACAGTTCTCTTTAAATTAACAGTCCCGCCCAGATCTCTTCCAATCCCCCAACACATACACCAGGAAAACAAAAACAATCTTAAAAAGACAGAGGACAGAGAAATATTTAGATATTTGGTTACCTTTTATTCAGTACTCAGACAAAGTACATTCACCTGCAAAAAAGACAGCACACCTGTCCATTTTTTGAATATTAATATTTGATAGACATACCTGGTCTGTTAAATATGTGTATATAGTGATTTTACTCAATTTAATAAAATCACTAGAAATGACATAAGTGTTGTAATGATGTTCACTCTATAATGTAGTAAGCAGCAACAGAGAGTCCTGTGGCACCTTTAAGACTAACAGAAGTATTGGAGCATAAGCTTTCGTGGGTGAATGCCCACTTCGTCGGATGCATTCACCCATGAAGCTTATGCTCCAATACATCTGTTAGTCTTAAAGGTGCCACAGGACTCTCTGTTGCTTTTTACAGATCCAGACTAACACGGCTACCCCTCTGATACTTGACTCTATAATGTGGTGACATCCTGTTAAATAGAAAGGTCTGATTACTATATTCCTGTATAATACCTCTTTAAACAAAAACTAACAGTTATAATGATTGTTTTGTTTCAGATATTTACATGGCAAGGATTTGTAAACATGTGAAAACATTCTAAATAAATCGTTTTAAAAATGTAACCTTTAATTCTCTTATCGGCTAGCTAAAAAACAGTGAATTATGTCACATCAAGTTCAGTTAGTCAGCTGCACTTTGGCTTCATCTTACTATGCATGAAAGATTCTGATGTGAATTTCATGACACATAGGATCAGGACAGCAATTTATAAACACCTGACAAGAATTTTCAAGTGATCTATTTTGCAAATATACTTTGAAGTGTCCCACATCTGAAGGTATCTGAGCTTCTGCCAAAGTGATGCATTGCTAACATCTGCTAGTGCATAGATTTACCCCAAATACAAAAACAAACCAAAAAGGAACATTTTGGAAGTGTGTCTTTTATGTACTAGAGAATATTTTATTTGAATAAACAATGGAAACAATGGCATTTTAATTGTGGAAGCAAGTCACTTGTGGTGAAGAGTTAGTTGAGTTTTAGTGATGATCCATGGATTGATCTTGGTGAACTTGCATTGGCTCAGCAAGTCATTTTCTACAGCTTAGACTATCTGGCCAAACATAAGAGTTTCTGCCTCTCCTTTAAGGGGTTATTGCATTAAGGCCTAGGCAGTGAGACAGTAGCAGCAATATACCTACACTATTCCAGTTTCACAGCTGGCAGAGAAGAATTTCTTCCATTCAGTGTTTCTGAACCCACTGATGCCAACCCCAACGCTTCATAGTGTAAAAAAAAATTAGTCATAATAAAATGAAAAATATCCACTCATCATTGTTTTGGCGGATGTGAGCCATAAAGTGTAGAGTGTTTTAGCATGTTTAGTGGTAAATTATAATGAAATCATTAGTAATCTCATGTCAAAACTATTTGAGCAGCAGAGTAGTTTTCAGTCCAGTTAGAAGGATTAATATTGTCCGTATGACTAAAACCTTACTTACAGGCTTTACAGGCTTTAACTCAACATGTTCCAGGGGGGGTTGCCGATAGCAGTATGTGTCAAGTCCACCTATGAAATCAACTGAAAATACAACAGTTCCAGAAATGAATAAATGGAAACAAAAGCACACAAACAGAATTAAAAATGGATAAACGATCTGAATAATAAATAATAATAGAAATAAAGAACATACACACAGACAAGAAACATACACGTAAATGAAAAAATATTGTGAGACTCATTTGCAGAGAGGCCTCAACCCAGCCTCCTTTTGTGCCTGTTTAATTCTGTGCAGGGAGACATTAGTCTATCACCCGACCCAAAGGCTGTGCACTGTAGTGTCTGCATGCTTCCAAAAGGGGATGGTAGTGTTTGCGGTGTGCACGTGAAGGCCATGTTGTGGTAATGTGGCCTTTTATTGCCAGGGGATCTGATCAAGCAGTTCTTGCTCAAATCAAAACCCTATGGAAGTGTGTGTGTGTGTGTGTGTGTGCGGGGGGATTAGTTTGGCAAAGAAGTGAAGGTTTTGGACCCGGTGAGCCAAATTCTGGTTGCAGTGAAACATATACAAATCAATGGAAGTTACATATGTGAGACAGACAGCAGTTTGTCCCCTTATTTGTGACATTAAAATGATGAATGAAGATCGAAAGGAGGCAGAGGCGTCTCTGAACAAACCTCTTCGGGCAGGTGATCTGAGAAAGCATCTCACCTTTTCTTTCAAGATTTCTACATCAGAAATAATGAAAGAATATCTGCATTTGAGAGGTCACTAATTCCACGTCTTGTGCTCACAGAGGAGTTCTCATTCAAGTAATTATGTTTGTGTCTTGTAGCTCTTCATTCTTAACAAGGTTCTTCAGTTCTAACACCTACACCAAGCCACATTTTTTCATATTTCTCATCACTGAGTTCAGAGGGTGGAGATTCAACTGTATCAAGACTGCTCTGGGCATCCAGTAGCAGGAAGACACTGAGAAAGGTGCAGCTCAACTGCTTCAGGGAAAACATTTGTTCGCTCTGAATTTGTGTGTGATAGTAAGAGTGTGTTCGTGTATAGAATTGCCTTTTCAATCCCCAGTGCTGATGTGCTCAATTCACAGCACATGAAGATTCTTCAATCCATCACTATCAAATGCTATTATTTGTATTGCTGTAGCATCTATAGATCTTAATAAAATCAGAACCCCTTGTGCTAAGCACTGTACAGACACATAGCAAGGCAGGGCTCCAGCTGTGAGCCCCACATGGGACTGACAACCAACATGCGATGTGAGTAACATAGTGTCTACACGGACACTGTGTCACCTTAACTACATCAGCCTAAGTGCTATGCCTGTCTGGAGGTGGAGTTGTTAAGTCAATGTAGTTACATCCATGGGAGCTACATTTTAGTGTAGATGCTTAAGAGTTAGGTCCACGTAAGCTGCCTTGCATTGACATAACTTTGTAGTGTACACCAGGCCTAAGAGACAGAGAAGGCACTGTTATCCCTGTTTTATAGACGAGGAACTGAGATTAAGGGCCTGATCTACAGCCCACTGAAATCTATGGGAAGACTCCCTTTGCCTTCAGTGGGCTTTCCCATTGATGGTAGGAAGCTGGGCCCAGATTTTAAAGGTATTTAGGCATTGAGGCACTCAGCATTGCAATGCCTAACTGATTTAGGTGCCTACATCTCATTTTCAAAAGAGCGTTGGGCACTCAATAGGACTTAGGCACCTAAGTGCCTACATTCCTTTTGAAAATGAGATTTAGGGTTCTAAATCAGTTAGGAGTTGCAATGCTGAGTGCACAACACCTAAAGACTTAAAAAATCTGGGCCTTGTTAGCTTATCTGTAGGGCCCTACCAAATTCACGGCCATGAAAAACGCATCACGGACTGTGAAATCTGCTCCCTCCACCCCTCTGTGCAATCTGGTCTTTTGTGTGCTTTTACCCTATGCTGTACAGATTTCACAGTGGAGACCAACGTTTCTCAAATTGGGGATCCTGACTCAAAAGGGAATTGCAGGGGGGTTACAAGGTTATTTTAGGGGGGTTGCGGTATTGCGGTATTTCTGTGCTGCTTTCAGAGCTGGGTGGCCGGAGAGCAGAGGCTGTTGGCTGGGTGCACCTAACCACCAGCACTCAGCTACCAGCGGTGCACCAGTAAGGGTGGCAATACCATACCATGCCACCCCTACTTCTGCGCTGCTGCCTTCAGAGCTGGGCAGCTGGAGAATGGTAGCTGCTGACTGAGGGCCCAATTCTGCAGGCAGCAGTGCAGAAGTAAGGGTGACAATACCGTACCATGCAGGGCCAGCTCCAGGCACCAGCGGAGGAAACGTGTCTGGGGCAGCATGTGCTAAGGGGCGGCATTCCGTCCATTCTTGGGGCGGCACAGTCCAAGCGTTTTTTCTGTTTATTTGTTTGTTTTTTGCTTTGGCAGTCCGAGCAGCTTTTTTTGGTTGGGGTGGCAAAAATGGTGGAGCCGGCCCTGATACCATGTCATCCTTACTTCTGTGCTGCTGCTGGTGGTGACCCAGCCTCCAGAGCTGGGCTCTCAGCCAGCTGCCACTGCTCTCCAGGTGCCCAGCTCTGAAGGCGGCACCACCGCCTGCAGCAGTGCAGAAGTAAGGGTAGCGGTACCGCAACCCTTCCCCCCTCCACACACAATAACTTTGCAACCCCCCAGATATCCTGAGTTGCAGTCTAATGCCTTAGCCACAAGGCCATTGTCTCACAGCTAATTTAACATCACATCATATTGAGAAAAGCTAGCACAGTCAGTGTGCCAGCCAAAGTGTGTCTGCCACTTTTCCATTGTACAGTATTTGTTTTACTTTTCAACATTCGTTCAGACTCTTATAACAAAATACAATACAAACACCCAGAGTGAAAGACAGCAGCAATGGGATGTATCTTTTAAAAAGCCTTTTGTCTGTAGACATTTTCAGCTATTTCTTGTGTAGGAGTCAAACATAGTAGACACAACTACCAATTCACGTCTCACAAGAAATTATGTTCACAGTAACAATCTCCTTGTGGTCTTCCAGCCTGGCCTTCTCAAACCCCTGAGAAGGATTATTACTTAGTGAGGTCATGTGATAAGTGAGGTGCCATAGCTCTCTAAGCATATCTTGCTAAACAAAATACTTTTCATTATCCAAAACTACAGCTTCCTAGGAAGGAAACTTAAACTTAGGAAATACATTTCTTTTGGATAATTCACCACTTCAGAATTAAACACAATCCTTCTCTCACTAATCACAAACAATCTGCATCCATAAGCAAAAGGAGAACTTAAACCAGCTAATCTTTCCCTAATATACTTTTGTGTAGAAAACGAGGCTAATGAATATTACTGATTGCAAACACTAATGCATCTTTGCCTGACATAAGAAATAATTTATCACGTCATGCAAATTTGGAGCTATCAGATACTTGACTTCGAATCCATATTAAGATAGCTCTCAAAACAAGAAACAGGTCTATCACATGAGACAACAAAGGAAAATGTCATTTTTTCCTTATAAGCTGTGTTTTATGTAAATCTGGCTGACAGTTTTTCAAATTAGAATTCTTCTTTATGTAGTTTCTCTATAAAAGATTAATTTTCAGTTATTTTAATTATAAATTATTTTTCATATAATACATTTTTAGAAATATGATCTCATTTGACCTGCTTTTTTCACTTATGTCTCAGGTGATCCCCAGGATGGAAACAGCAAAGAAAAGGTAGCTATTAACTATGGAGATATCTGAGCTGCTATTCTCAGCCCGAGAAAGGAAATATTTCTGTGTACCAGCCAGCTATAAGAGACAACTCAAGTTTGACTATAGGAGTCAAATGTCTATCAAACAAAACTCTTTGCTTCTGCTTCAGTGAGCTATTAAGATGCATGTTTCTCTTTGTTAAAATGGAGACAGAGTAAAAAGCATTAACATTTATGTAGACCCCCTGAGAAAAAAAAAACCTAGGCTAGGTGGCACTGAATAACTGATTTATTTATCTCTTGCTTGGTTAATGAATTATAGGCAATCCCTGCTATGGATCCATAAGACTATTATAATAAGCTTTAATCCAGAGAGCCACATATATTGTGAATAAAGTTCTATGGAAATATCATTTGATTTTCTATGCAGTTATATACCCTATGCATTAAAAAAAAAACCAGTTTAGCAATAGTGATATTCAGTCACTAGAAAAGAACACTGCATGGAGTCCAGTCATTAACTACTTTCTTGCAGAGATACACTTACAAAACTAGGGAGAGAATTTTCAGCACCCTGCAGATAATTGCTGGTTATAGAGGAAACTAGTTATTTTATCTGCAGCTGGCTGCAAAACATGATCCATATTTCCAGGGAATTGCTCTCTTCTTGTGTTGCTTCAGTTTTGTGGCTGTGTCGGATGCTTAATGGCCAGTGTGAAACGTTCTTTAAGACTTCACTACGTGCTGATCTTGGAAGCTGCAAAACTGCCTTGACTACTACTATGGGCAGTCTATTAAAATGATGTTCACTTACTTGGGGGCGGTATAGGGGGGGAATGGCTGTCAATCTCCCTCAGTGAGAAGAGTGTAAAACACTGCTGGCCCAATGAGGTGCTCCTGTTATAATTAAAAATGTTAAGATCTATTCTTTGCTGGATAGCTGACATCCAAATATGTTTTATTGCTATTAATCCAGTGCTTTCTCCCATGTGCTGATGCTAAAATTTCTTTTCAGGTTTGGGCAGAAAGCATAGAAGGATAAGAAAAGGGGTTTGAAAAGATTATTTATCCCACAAAACAGTTTCTTTGGCCATAACCCATTACAATAACCTGCTGTTTACAGGATCTCTGCAGGATGAGTGCAGAGGACATTACTAAAAGACCTTTTGAGGTCCCTTCCAGTCCTACACCTCTATGATTCTATATAGCTGCCATAGCTTGTCAGGCCATTGTTATATTACCAATATTTCCTTTCAAAGTGACCAAGTTTTAGATATCAGAGGGGTAGCCATGTTAGTCTGGATCTGTAAAAAGCAACAGAGAGTCCTGTGGCACCTTTAAGACTAACAGAAGTATTGGAGCATAAGCTTTCGTCTGACGAA